AACCAAAGCTAGCAGAAGGTAGGAAATAAAGATTAGAGAGGAGATAAATGAAATGAGAATAGGAAAAGAAGAGACTATAGAAAATCAACAAAACTAAAACTTGGTTCTTTAAAACGTCAGCAAAATTGACAAATCTTTAGCTGAGTGACTGAGAAGGGGAGAGGTACACCTTGAGGCTTTTGTTCTCTAACTCTCCTGCCTCAGTTAAAACAAGAATAAAATCATTTCCTCATGCCTCAACCTACTTGATTTTAGTAACTTAGCAGCTTGACTCTAGTACTCAACAAACTAGCAGCAGAGGGAAACTTCCTCAATATGAGAAAGCCACATAGGAAAAACCCACAGCTAACACTCTCGGTAGTGAAGGACTGAAAGCTTTTCCACTAAAATCAGGAACAAGAAAAGGATGCTCATTTTTGCCAATTCTATTCAACATAGCACTAGAAGTCCTAGCCAGAGCAACTAGGCAAGAAAAAAAAGGCATCCAAATTAGAAAGGAATAAATTTATCCCTGTTCAAAGATAATGTAATCTTATAGGTAGAGAAAATCCTGATGATTCTACACACTCAAAATAAACTGTTAGAACTAATAACTACAGGAAGATAGCAAGATATAAAGCAACACACAAAAATCAGTTGCGTTCTATACACTAGCAACGAACAATCTGAAATAGAAATTTACAAAACAATTCTACTTACGATAGCAGTAAAAAAAACAAAATAACTTAGGAATTAACTTAAGGTGAAAGATTTGTACACTGAAAACTATCAAACATTTCTTAAAGAAATAAAAAATGGGAAGGACATCTTATGGAACTTGCATTTGTTGCTGAGTTTTAGGAGTTCTCTATATACTCTGGATAACCATCCCAGAGCAGATAGACGATTTGCAATACTTTGTTTTACTCTGTGAGTTGCCTTTTACTGTGTTGATGGTGGCCTTCGAGGCAAAAAAGTTTTTTATCTTTGTAAGTCCAACATATCTGCTTTTGTCTTTTATTACCTGTGCCTTTGCTGTTGTATCTAAGTAATTATTGCCAAATAATTTCCTCTGTGTTTTCTTCTAAATTTTATCACTCACATTTAGGTCTTTGATCTATTTTTAGTTAATTTTTGTATATGGTGTTAGATAAGGGACAAACTTCAAACTTCTTTTGCAGGTAAATTTAATGTTATATATATTTTACAACAATGAAAAATTAAGTTTTGAAACATTTAATACCCTTTCATGATAAAAATACCCAGTAAACTAGGAATAGCAAGAAACTTCCTCAACATGATAACAGTTATATATGAAAAATCCGCAGGTAACATCATACTCAATGGTTAAAGACAAAGTTTTTTCACTAACATCAGGAACAAGACAGGGATGCCGACTTTCACCATTTCTATTAATGTTTTCATTTTTGTTGGGTAGATTGATTATCTCTAACCTTTATGTGGAATCTCTTTTAACCAATCCCTTGGCTTTTTCTCTCTCAGCTTCCACATTACTCCTCTTTTTAAGTTTTCCTCTTGGTTTTATTTATTTATTTTTTAAAAAATATTTTTATTTATTTATTTTCAGAGAAGATAAGGGAGAGTGAAAGAGAGGGAGAGACACATCAGGTTGCCTCCTGTACTCCTCCAAATGGGGACCTGGTCCACAACCCAGGCATGTGCCCTGACAGGGGACCGGACAAGGGCCCTTCTGGCTTGCAGGCTGGTGGTGCTCAATCCACTGAGTCACAGCAGCCAGGGCTGCTTTTCTTTTTTTTTAACTTTAACAAGGCTTATTGGTTTTCCTTGATTGCCTCTGGCCCAGCTTTGGAAGGGCTCTCTGCATCTGTCTGGCCTTGTTTCCAGGCTACTCTGCCTTTTAAATCCCTTTTTTGCTTCTTCAGCTTTTGGGCCTCCTGAAAAACCCAAATACACAGAGCCTTCTTGTTTCTTCTTGTTTACCCAGCAGCAGTGGCTTTTTGGTAATAGGGAAAGGCGTGCTTAATCCCCAGCTCTTTGCAGGTCTTCTCAGAGACTTTGTAGTTGGTCTTAAGGAGGTTTTTGGTCATCTTTTTCCTCTGGTCAAGGCTAATCACAAGACAGTGCTTATGAAGAACATATGCAGAAATCTCAAAAGGACAAAACCCACAAACGCTAACTGCCTTCTTTTATTGTCACTTTGATAAGTCTCTTGTGATTTAGATCCATCCTTCTCTTCCAGGTACAGAGAAGGACACACCTTTATAAATGGAGATATCCTTTATAAATGTATATTTCTCTTATAAAAGGGTAACTTCTAGTTTTCAGAGCATCTCTTGAGTCTACTTATGCCAAAGAGGTATATTTTGGGGTGAAATATTCTGCTACCCTTCAGTGATTAGGAAGAATTTGAGGAACTGGTCAATATCATTTGGCAAATAATGATCACAGTTGGTCAGAAGTATGTGTGTGGTGGGGGGTGTGGGCAAGAACCTTTACTGTGGTTTCCATGAAAGGAAGTGGCAAGGCAGGAGAGACAGGTTTAGGATCGGCCACACAGAATAATTTCAACGAGCCCTGGGGCACAGGGGTTGTCCCAGGCGTCAGATACCTGCTCCTGGGGTGGCTGGTGTCCTGGGGTTATGAGCACCCAAGAAAGGAGTGGCTGGGGGTGTGAGCTCTGGGTTCCTTTGTTTGCATTTGAAAGCAAGTTGTTCACTATCCTTAGGAACTGGTAACTCTGGGGGGTGGAGAAGGCAGTCTCTCCAGAGTGTCAGCAAGACCCCAGATGTCAAAGCCCCAGAATCCCAGCATTTGGCAACGCTGGGATTCCAACACAGGACTATCTCCCAGACAAAGTCCTTCCTCCCTCCCTCCCTTCCTTTAATTTTTTTTCCCCTTCTTTCTTTCCTTCCATCTTTTTCTCTTTGTTTCTCCTTTCTTTCTCATATTGTGACTGCATTTTATGCCAAATGTGGCATCCAGGTGACAAATAGAGTGAAGAAACAAAATGGAGTTGCTCTAGTCAAGCTGCTAAATTACTAAAATCATGTAGGTTGAGGCATGAGGAAATGATTCCATCCTTGTTTTAACTGAGGCAGTTAAGTTAGAAAAGGGAACAAAGCCCTCAAGTTCTACCCCTCCCCTTCTCCATCTTAGCTAGAACATCACAGACACAACCTTCACTGACCACCTGTTCCCCTGCTTTTTCCTCCCCAGCTTCCTGAATCGAGAGGACTTCCCCTAAATTGGTATCTGCAGAGAAGGGACAAGGATGAGGGGAGCAGGCAGACACCCCACCAGCGTCAGAAGCAGAGGACTGCCCTTATCTTCTCTAGACCATGTTTCATAAAAACTTTCCACCCATACCCCATCAGCAAGCCTCATTCTCCAAGGTTGTCTGCTCTCACTTAAGTGCGTACCATGGCTTTAATAAATTTACTGTGCTTTGTTAAATCTGTCATGCTCATGCTCTTGAATTCCTTCTTGTTCTGTGACAAGGACCTGGGTCAGTTGAGGCCTCCCTTGGCTTCCCTGGGTGTCCCTTGGCACCCTAACTAGCCTGGGAACTTAAAATTTTGAGCTTCCCAGTTAATGCCTGGATATACATCAAACCTTTACATAACCCTCTGATTACCCCCTTGACTAAGGAAAGAATATTCATGTATCTAGACTATCTGGCATCCATTACGCAGACCACCGGTCATCTACAGAATTTCCATCTCAAGCCAGAGACTAAGAATGCAGGACTGATTCTTCGTAAGAATGTACCTTTTTGTTATAAAAACTTTTAGTTTTTCTTTCTTTTGCAAAACACTTTGGGTATTGCCTCATTGTGTATCCCATTTGCAAATGCAAAGGCCCTTGAATAAACCTTTATTCTTAACCAAAGGCTCCAGACTCTTTTTGAGTTCCTTTGATACAGGATACAGAGGCAGCTGCTGTTTCCAACTATTAAAAGAGAAAACCGCAGGCCCAGTATGTCATTTGTCCTAAATGCCCATGTTACCAAACTAGATTTAATGCCTGCTTGATGTAACTGCAGTATCAACCTCTCCTAGAAACAATTAACCCGTCTGAAATTTTCTGGTCCAGCACCAGTAAGATCTCTCACATCGGCCCTCCCCATCCCTCTTAGAAAGAAGAGGGAATCTTACAACTCTTCCCATTTTCTTCCCCCAAAGAAAAGGTGTCCAGGCCCCAAAATAATCCTTTCTTTTCTTTTGTTAATAGCTCCCCTGCTCCACCCTTCTTCCTATAAAATCCTTCTGTTTCATACAACCCCTCAGCACCCTTCTAGTCGCTAGCTGGATGGGATGCCGCCCTATCCATGAACCACTTAATAAAGCCAATTAGGTATTCAAATTTTACTCATTTGAATTTTGTTTTTTAACACAACATTCCTAAAATAGGAATTGCAAGAACTGGCTTGCATTTATGACTTGACCGTTACTTATTTAACTCCTAGGCTCACTTATGCTCAAGTATTAAAAAATGGCTTCTACATCAATGTCCTTTAATTTGAACACTCCAAAAATCCTAAGATCTGCCTACAGCCATACCCCACTGAACCACTGGATCACGTCTGATCTCTGAAGCTAAAATCCTAAGATCTCTGAAGGGATGTAATTCTTCATACCCTATGGGATGGCTACAATCTTCTGGGCCAAATACTCCTGTCCCAAAGCCTTTGTAGCCTGGCGCCCTTATTCGACATTATTACAACGGCCCAGGGGTGGGCAGTCATGCTATTGTGAGTCGGATCCCAGAAGCAAGGACAGAGGAGTAGACAGAGAAACGCCGGCTTCTCCGCCGGCACCCGAATCTCCAGGTCAGCGTTCCAGGCCGCCACCTCCCCACTGCCCTCCGGTATGACTGGTGCTGTCTATCATTAATGCCTAGCCTGAACCTTGCTCCACCCAGCACAGATTCCAGGGGAACTAGCAAGGACAGCCTCCCACCGAAGAGTCCAAGGCTCCGGAAGTGACGTTGTGCGTGCGTGCGTGACGTGCGCTCACGGCGCCAGGGGCGGGGCGTGAGAGAGGGTGGGCCGGCGTGAGGGCGGGTTGTGGACTGGCGGAGCTGGGACGAACTCTAACGACGGTGGGAGAGTGGCGGCCTCGACGCCGGTAGATCTGCGGACGAGGTAAGGAACTGACGGACGGGGACCGAGGACAGCCCTGCTCTCGGCTCCGGGCAGTGGGTGGCGGCGCCGACCAGGCGGGGGCTGCTGGGTCATTCGCCCGTGCCGTCCACCCGGCCGGATCCGTTTCGCTTCGGAGCCTCCTGTCGTTCTCCGTCCCATCCCGGGCCGGGCAGCGCGGCCCTGGCCGGTCCCCTTAACCCTGTTAGTGCTCAGCCGGCCGGTGTCAGGCTCACGTCGCCAAGTTCTCCATGGCCCAGCCCAACTCCGACAGACAGACGCTTATCATTTCCTGGCCGCCTCCTCCCACCAGTTATCCCCTCGCGGGATGGCTTCCCTCCGTCCGGCTCCCTCCTCACTGTCGAGTCCGCAGTCAGAAAGGGCACCTGTAGTGGCGGCGGGTCAGGTCGTGCCCTGTGGCCCTCGGGCATTCTTTTGGACGAAAGCTCCGACCCGCAACGCAGTCTGGCGTTGGCAGGGAGCCGGGACTTTAGGAACCCGTGTCGTTCTTGGGGAGGCATACTCCTCGGAGTTGGAAGGGTTCAGACTTTCTTGGCGCGGAGACTTGAAGACTGGTCTTAACTTTCGCCCCGTGGTTGAGGACCTGGGGTTAGGAGCAGGAGGACCTGCTTCCAAACCATTTTGGAAGAGAGCAGAGGTGATGCCCTTTACGGAAGTTTAGTAGAGAGGGAGGGAGGGACTGAGCCGCTTTAGAGAGGAGGTCTTAGGCAGCTGGCGTCTCAGCGCTGGTGATCGAGCCCGGTGGTTGGGAATGTGTCAGTGGTCGCTGGTGGACTCTGTTGTCCTTGAGATTAGATGTGAAAACTTGCCAGTACGAGTTTACAGCATCACCTGGGGAGCTCGCTTGCTTGCTTGCTTCCTTCCTCCCCTCCTCTTTCTCTCTTTCTTTTTGTTTTTTGAGATTAAAGTAAAATAGTTGTACTTCTTTTTCCCTGTAAACCTAAAACTGCTTAAAGTCAATTAATTAAAATAGTTGTGTCAAGAAAGTTTGGCCAGAGGTGCAAAAGATTTGATTATATTATTAGTTCATTTAATAAATAATGTTAACTTTTAAGAGTTACTTGTTCTTATGCGGAATATTAAGGAGTGTTCAGGATTTGAATTTTTACTGACTTTCGAAGCAATCATGTTTCTTTTCTCTAGAAGTTAGCCAATTTAGGAGGGAGGTAAGGAGGGGCACAGGAAGGGAAGGGGGGAGAAAGAGAGCAAAAATACTTTGAACACAAGGTGATAAATAGTGTGAGCTAAGTTAGAGCACTTTAAGTAGCCCCCCTCACCCCGAGAGACTGTGGGGTGTGAGGGTGAAGAAAGGGTGTCAGGGAACACCGTTCTGGAAGTATCATGAAGAATGAGTAATATTCAAACTAATAAAGTGGCATGGGAACTTTAGGGGTAGGTGGCAATGTGGGGGTGGGGCAACTAATGGAGAAGAGGCCAATAACTATTTGGAGATGGTTTCTGAAAAGTGAGAAAGTGCAGGGCAGAGAGTGGTGTCAGATAGGGGCAGAGATTCTGGAGCTTGGTTCTTTATCTAGATGATGCCAGAACAAAGGGAGGGTTTTAGGGAGGGTGTTGTGTAGTTAAAAAGAAATTTCATGTAGATCTTAACATACAGGCTGCCATGTGGCTGGTGAGGATTGTGCCCAATAGTGTTTGCTATGTGCTATCTTGTATTTTAATCTTTTCTCCTCATTAAGTGTTTGAATTAAATTGTATATTCATTTACTAATTGATTGCTTATGTGTGAGTGACTGACCCTTCTAATTTTTAAGCTTCTATAAACAGGAATTCTGTTCCGCTTTTACCTCTTTGCATTCTAAATCCAAATTGGGCATTATCAAATGTTAAAAGAGTACCTCTTGACTTGATGAGAATTCATTGATTTCTGATGTTATTTTTCAGTGGAAAAAAATACAATCAGTACTTAACTCATTTTAATACCTACATACGGAAGAACTAAGAACTATGTGATTTACTGTGTCAGTCTCTGGCTAGAGACATAGACTTTCAGTCTTGACAGTGTGAGTTTGATTTTTGGTACATGTGTTTTTATTGGTTGCAGGGTAAACATCTTCAGCAGAGATGACCCATCCTTAAAATGTAGGCAATACCTGCGTAATATAACACCTATCTGTTCTGTGATTTAGAATAGAAATGCTATTAAGTGGCTTCTTAACCCATAAAGAATGATAATCACACTAAAAAGAAGTTTCACAATAGAGGCTAAACATTTTGAAAGTTTTATTAAATGCCCATTTCTTTCATAAAGCATTGTAGAAACATGTTTCATATGTCTGAAATCCCCTGATATAGTAAGCTAGACTATTATTGAATTAAACACTTAGGAATAAACACTTAATGTTATGTAACTCATATTTTACCTGTTTGATATTTGGGTAAGGCTAAAATGCTTCAAGAAAAGACTGTGCATTTATCGTGCTGCTTTCAAATTACCCAGTGAGATTCCTGTTTTTCATGAAGTTGCTGTCCAGACAGAAAGTGTAATTTTTATCATATAATAGGACATTTTTTTCATGTTTCTGTTAGCTGAAGAACTGTAATTATAATTGATTAATTAGATATATACGAAGTTAAAAGTCAGAAGTTTTGGTCAGAATGACAACTGTGAGTTCATGAATGAGTAAGTATTTATGCACTAAGAGAGTCCTAACCTTTTTATTTTCATTACATAATAGCAAGGAGATCGCTGACATGTCTGAAGCTGGCATGTTGCAAGAGCCTTGAGGGCCCTAAATTCTGTGCTGTCTCATGTTAAGGAATGGTTGGCGGCATTCCCTATGCTAGGCACAGGGCAACTCAGAAGGAGTTGAACAGAAATCCTATCTTATGAATCATTTTTGAAGCAAGTCTAGTCAGTTCGCATTCAGAATAAATAATTTTAAGTACATTTATGGTGATTTGGTCTTTATCTTAAATTAAAAAAATGAGTTTAGGAGATTTTTACACTGGGATATATTTATAATTTTCGGTGTGCCCCAAAGTTAAAAATACAGGTACATAATGAAAGGGTTTTATTTTTGTATTTTCTCTGTTGTTAGAATTTCCTAATTCTAGTTAGAATACTTGCTAAAGCTTTTTTCTTTCTTTTGGAGCACAAAAAAGATAATGCTTTTAGAAATTGAGCTTATAAAATGTTTGTCAATGAAAGAAAATATTTTATTGTGCTATAACATTTTTTAATTGGAACATACCATTTACTTATATCACCTGTTGTTCCAGAAAGGATTCATAATGACTTAAAGATACATGCAGCATATTGTTGGTAACATACAGAAATAAGGGGTGATTAATTCAGGACTGAGGGAAAAAACTTAAGATAGAAACAGGAATAAGATCTGTACACACAGTACAAGGGCTGAAATCATAAGTATTTGTTAGAGGATCACAAATTTGACTCTGCCTTTTAGTAGCCAGTTCAGAGAGAAGTACAGGGCGAGACAAAAGTGGGTTTACAGATGTGAGTATGCGAAGCAGAGTTTATTCTTGTATTACTATTTACTAATTATTGTATTATTTTCCATACAAACAACTGTAAACCTGTTTTTGCCCCACCCTGTATAATCAGTTACGGTTCAGTGAACATATGAGAAAAAACCAATTTCTTCCTTAGGAGTCCCAAAGACTCCTTGTATTGAGAAACTTAGATATATCCTTAAGTAAATACATCATGTATTTATGTCAAAGGACTGTGCTGTGTTTTACTTCGCTTTTTGGTAAAATTCTTCATTGTCTCCTTGTGTAGGTTGATGACAAAACATCAAACCATAATTCAATAAAAGCAGTTCCAGTGCTGGCAAATAATATGATCTAAGTACTTAGAACTCTAGACTGATTTACTGGTAATTTAAGGATCTGTTTTAGATTATCTAGATAAGTAGATGGAGATTGCACGTTCTTCAGGTTACCTTCCATAAATATCTTGTTTCTCAGTGGAGCTTTTGTTAAGAATTTATCAGCAGTGGGGTTTGAGTTTGTGCTTCCTGACAAGTTTTTTGAGTACATCTACTTTTTATATTGTTGGTTAATTACAGAGCCATATTTTTAGCAAGTATGCTTTATCAGGGTGGGGGGGGGGGCAGTATGAAGATGGAGGAGTCTGACCAGGACAGATATTTAAATGAAAGTCAGTCAGCCTCCACACAAAATGGGCCGAGGGGAATACCAAATTGCAGACCTAAGATTAATTTCTGGAAGTATGTTTGGGGTGTTAGCTTGGCACAGACAGCATTGGCTTGAAAAGTTGAGGCATATAATTTATTTTTAAGACAGTAACAGCCCTGGCTGAGTGTCTCAGTTGGTTAGAGCATTATCCCCGACACACCAGTGTTGTGGGCTCCATCCCAGGTCACGGCACATGGAAGAGTCATCCAATGAATGCATAAATAAGTCAAATGACAAATTGATGCTTCTCTCTCTCTCTCTCTCTCTCTCTCTCTCTCTCTCTCTCAACTTCCTCTCTCAAAAAATCAATTAAAGGAAAAAGAAGGAAACAGATCCTTTTATCTTAGATGGAGTGTCCATAGGCTAAAATGTTGCCCTTTCCAGTAATAGTTCAAATTTATCAAGTGCTATCTTGGGCCAGGCACTCTGCTAATAATAAGCTCTTTACATGCTTTATCTTGCTGTCCTCTCCCCTCCTTTCTTCTTGAAAGAAAAATATAAACAAATGCCGTTCATAGCAGTAACTTGTTCGAGGTCACACAGAAGGTGATAGAGATTTGAACTCAGGTAGTCTGACTGACTGAGTGGTCTGCACATAACTTTACACTGCCTGAGGTGGATTAGACTGCGCCTTCAAGATGAGATGGACCCATACAGTTAGTAGAAAGAAACACATTGGCAAATATCAGAACCCACCATTACAACAGGTCCTTGAATGGTTATGGATCTTTCCATCCAGAAAATGGGCTGGGAGCTACAAGTTCAGGGCATTTGGCCATGGTTTGTAAAGCTGAAGAAAA